AAATAAACCCTGTTGTGCTACTCCTTGAGGAAGGAAATTGAGTTTCTGGATGACTCGCAAATACTTTGCTCATTGTAGTGGCCTGTATGTTTCCTGAATACCCAGATCTGATTTAGATTAGGGCCTTTTGGTGGGTGGGGGGGAGTTGGGGGTGGGAAGGACTGGCTAAATAAGAGGAAATTTGTAGTTTTAGTCCAAGGTCCAAGCACTGTTACCAATTACATATGTATAAGCTATAAGAGAGGGACTGCATCTGCCTTAGCTACAGTTAAAGTTGTCCAGTGCTTCCTCCTTTTCCTATGCCCTTTCCTCCCCTTTCGGAGGGAGAATAAGTAAGAAAAACAAACAACAAAGTGTCTCCCCAAACTGCTCTCTGTGCTTTAAACCTGTATCAAAGTTAGAAAAAGTTTCTAAAATTTAAGGTAAATGAAAAATAGGCAAGAGAAATTGGATTGGCTAGTGCTGCTTAAACTGCTGTTATCGTATCTGGCTTTCACGTGGTTTTGTAGTGAAGCAAAGAAAAGCAGAAAAGCTAAAAGAGAAAGCACAAAATCCTTTCTTGTGTTAAACTCCAGGGAAAATGGCAGCTTTCCCCCTGTGCCAGCTTCTTGCTAACTACTCCCAGAATGCCTGGTACTGTAAGCTGACAATAATAAATCCCTCAGTAGCCGGCCAAAATGTTGAAGGTGTGGTTTGCACCAAACAGTGATGATGTAATCTTTTTTGGTACTGGGAGCTGAGGAGAGGTTTGGGAATGGGGCCAGAGTGGTTCTTCTAGGGTGATGCACAGCTCTGTATGCCAGGCATCTCTGGGCCATGGTGTTCTACCTGTGTATGCAGTGGCTGCTTCATCACAAAGAACGTTGGAGCTGCTGTTGGAGCTCTAGAGGGCTGGGATGGTGGGTCAGCCACTTTCAACCTCCATATCCTGATAATCCTTCTCTTCTCCTGGCTGAAAGAACACATCGCACCCAGTTTTTCTTCTCTGCCTGCTGCTTCAATGATTGATGAGATGCAAGGGAGCAAAGGGCACAGCCCACCAATATTGAAGAGGGTATCCTCTGTGATTTGCTTTTGTGTTTACCATGTGGCTACCAGATCATGCCCTCTTCTTTTGTCTTACAGGAAGAAATTCCATTATATGCACTAAAAAACCCAAAGCTGGCATGCAAAAGACCAGTTCCATACGGCCAGCTGTGGTTTGTTTTGCCTTTACTAGTAGGGTAAAAATCCTTTGCCTTTCAAGAGCCACCTTCTTTTCCCACTGCTTACCAGGTCTCTGTAAATCTTTTGCTACTGAGTATGCTAAAGTTTGGCATTGACATAGGAACCTCAAGTATACAAAGGTACATTCAAAATAAACAAAAACACTCTCCAAAAGAACAAAAAGATAATTAATCTTTGCAATATCTGTTCTGCCACAGTATCTGCATTATACGAAGGATTTGATCTATCGTCATGAAGTACTACTTGGACCTGGAGCCTCCACAGAACAAAAGTAGTCTAGAAACTTTAGTACCATCCTTAAGAGAGGTTTGTTAGACAAATTCCAGTGTCTGTGACTGCCTGTGTCACAAAACGATTTAATTTATATTCTAGATCTTAAATTAGTGCCTAATTCTTGGATCACGTTATTACTTTTCTGTGAGCACTTCCTACCCATCCCACTTCACCAAGGGCAGCCTGCATTTCAAATTGGTGCCCTTGGACAGTGTCAGGTTCCAGAAAAGCTGATGAGCTCTGCAAAAGTTCGGTTTCTTTGGAAAAGACCTCATATATCTCACTGTGGCACAAGGTTTTAATATTTTACCAGGTATTTTCCTATGCTTACAGAAAAACCTATTCCTCATTGAGGTGCCAGGAACTGTGGCAGCCTGGTTAACCACAGGCAGCTATCTATGTGTATTGATTTCCAGGGAAATTTGTTGCTTTCATCATGTGTTGATGGGACTGAAGCCTTAGGAGAATTCAATGCTGTGCACATTTTGGTATAGCAGAGTGCTGTACCAAGATTGTGATGTCCAGAGCACATTACATTATGAGACTAAGGGATGGGTTTTGTAACTCCTGTCCTATTCTGTTCTCTCCATTTTCCTTCTTGGGATGCTTCTGTAGCAATATGGAACAGCTCAGCAGTATCCATCATTTTCCAGCTGCTAGATCTAGACCTGATTTGCCAATCAGGTACCAGACATGAATGCTCAAGTACAAGTAAGGTGGTCTCTGGATTTGTTAAGATCAATGAAGTTCCCTGTGAGCTGCAGAAAATTCTTCTTGACTACTTTTTATGCTTTCTCTTAAAAATATTTTGCTAGAATATTTTGCTTAAAACAGGTGGTCACTGTATATTTGGGGTGAGGTGTGGCACCTGCTCTTTGTGGGCAGATGTGCATGGGTCTGGAGAACAAAGCTAGAAAATAAGGCATGAAAATTTTTCCCATTTCTAAGTGAGGCTCTCATTTTCAGATAATAATGGAAAGTCACGCAGTTGAGTGGCTATATCATAGCTAAGATATCTATGGTCTAATTCAAAGCTTGTCAAAATCTGTGACTCTTGAAGGGTTTTTAGAGTGGGCTGCTGACGTGCAGATAAATAAAAGATAGATAAAGTATGATATATGTATATTATGAAGGGGTGTGGTTTCAATACTGTGCATGAGCGGACTGTTGACTAAATGACTGTATGGAAAAACAATTAATTTCCTTTACTTCTCTAAGACAAAAATACTTTGCAAACAATGTCTTCTGCTTGTCTGCTACAATGTTCAGTGGAGCTGGGGGACTGTATTCATGTGTTAGAGGAACACAGCCAACAAAATGTATTATCTTATTTTGTAGAGCCCACTAACTCCAGGAGGAAATAAATTGGGCAGGACAGCTGCGAGGGTAAAAATGAGATACACAGCTACGTACTTTTCATATGTGATTTTGAAAATTCTTTCTTAAGTGCAGCACCTCCTAGCTTCATTTTACAAACAGAGTATGTTGGATACAGAAGATTTTAACAAATTGCACAAGCTCATGGAGTGAATCTGCAGTTGCAGGAACAGGCTACTGCAACAGGCTTTGTTCATTTGGGTAGATGACCTCTGAGTCAAAAGATAACAATGATGAAGAGGTCCCAACAGGCTCCACTGTTTTCCCTTTTTCTTTCTTTCCTCTTCCTCCTTTGGACAACAGTACAGCCATGGGGCTTTCCTTTCTTTTCACCACACCCATTCCCTGGCTGAGATGATGCAGGAAGAAAGGCAGCAACAAAAGAAAGGCACCAGCTGTAGGGATGAATAAATGGTTTCATATGGCACAGGAACCTTCCCTAACCAAGCTACCTCTGTTTCAATATACTCATTTATGGCAAGATAAGCATTGCCACAGTGAAACTTTGTTTTTTTTTGTTTCTGTGCAAGAAGTTCCTGAGATAGCTACCCTCTGTGATGTAAGGATCAGATACTGTTCCTTTCTGCCTGTCCATCAGGGCTGGATTTATACCTTTATGTGATTAGGCAATAGCTTTTCTCTGGGTGAAGATAATTCTGCTGTTACTTTCCTAGTAACCTCATCTAGCACCCCTCAGAAGTTGCTCTAACAATAGCTCTGGAAATTAAAATCCTTCATGTCTCCCCCTAGTAGACATATCACTGGCTAGAAGAAACTTTCTTAATTTCTGCATTAAGTCAGCTTGAGCTGAGGGCAAAACCAGAAGAAATACTGAAGAAAGATAATCTCAGAGATTATATGGATAACACAATGTTCTTCAACTTAAAAATATAGTCCTAGTGATGGAAAGGGATTTACTATGTGGATTCCTTTCTTCTGTCAGGAGAACTCCCAATCTACTACTTATAAAGAATGTAGATAAGATATTAAATGTCATTTCTCTGTCATTTATGAGCCATCTGGATAAGAGGGAAGGGAAGGAAAGTGATTAACTAAAGCCCTGAAAGTGTAAGGCTGGCTCAGAGCCCCAGCTGTGTCCTGTACCCACTTCAACTCAATGCAGGGTAAATCTAAAGAGGGCTGTCAAGCTGTTAAGAAACAGCCTTCCCACAGAGCAGAAGAGACAGAGAAGGAGCAGGGTCTGAAAATCTTACCAAATATGTCCAGATATTTGAAATAAGCTCAAACATTCAGTGGCTGCTTAGCCATACCTTTTACATTCAACCCACAACAATTAGTTTAAACTGAACTCTGATTTATATAGAGGAAGAAAATAAATTTTGAGAAGTCAAGCTTGTATTTTTTATGGCATCTACATTCTCCTTATTTCTTTATAAGGTTTGATTAATGGTTTTTCATTGTTGAATGTCAATGAACATTGAACTTGTGCTCAGCACATCACTATGGATAGCAGTTAAATGACAAAGAACAGAATAGAAGTACATATATTTCAGATGTATTGAATGTCTTCTGCAAAATTTTACTGGATTCCATAATATCTTTTCCATATTTAAGTCTTATGCACTTATTTCTGTAAAATAACTGCAGAGATGGAAAGAGCATGAAGGCAGCCTCTTACGAACCTGACCTTGTACTTCTCTGAAAAACCACTCTTATGTACTTACATGTGTGACTGACCAGGGCAGTGATCTGTACATGGCACTGGTGAGGCTACACCTTGAGTACTGTGTTCAGTTTTGGGTCCCTCACTAAAAGAAGGACATGGAGGTGCTGGATCAGGTCTTGAGAAGGGCAGTGGTGTTGGGGGAGGGTCTGGAGCACAAGTCTGATAAGGAGCAACTGATGAAGCTGAGATTTTTTAGCCTGGAGAAAAAGAGGCTCAGGAGGACCTGAGTATATTGCTCTCTTCAACTACCTAAAAGGAGGTACCTGCAGAACTCATTGATTTCTCCAGAGAATATGAATCTGCAAAATGTTAAAACCATGCCATAGATATTTGGGGAAGCATTGTGTTGGTCATGTTTGTCTATTAGAACCTAGAAAAATTGAAAGGTCACAAGTAAACTGAAAGTACAGTTTTATTAATCCAGGAGGAGAACTAGAATTGCAAGAAATTATGGGGCTGGATTAGGACACAATTAAAATGGAGAAAAGAGTAAGTCAAATAGGACTTAAATTATTGCTACACAATACCACAACTGAAGTGCTTCTTTGCCATTCACTCTTTGGGGATGCCACCTCACCCCATGTTATCACCTACAACATGGATGTGGTATGAAGCAGCATTTCCTTGTTTTTTGTGGTGGATTCAAAGGAGTGATACAGTGACGTGAGACTGTAGAAACATGGCTAAAAGCTCTGCTTTTAGTTTAAACTGAGAGATGTATAACAACCTATAACATTCTCAGCCTACAGTCTCATGCTTCTTACAGAGCAAACCAGATTTCCTGATGTGGTGGGTTGACATTTGCTGGACACCACCAAGTCACTCTATCATACTCTCTGCCCTCAGCAGGACGGAGGAGGAAGAAAGTAAGATGGCAAAAACTTGTGGGTCAAGATAAAATCAGTTTAATAAAAGCAAAAGCAAAGGTTTTAGGCAGAAGAAAAGGAATACAGAAGATTTATTCTCTGCTTCCAATAAGCAGGAGATGCCCAAATTGCCCTGGAAGACAAAGCACTGTAATAATGAATGCCCTGCCTCCTTCTCCTCCTCTCTCTTAGCTTTTGTTGCTGAGCCAATGTTACATGGTATGGAATATCTCTGGTCTGTCGGGGTCAGCTGTCCTGGCTGTGTCTGCTCCCAAGATTTTGCCACCCCCAGCCTACTGATGGGAGGCAGAATTTTGGAGAGACAGTGCTGGTGCTGTGCCAGCACTGCTCAGCAGAAGCCAAAACACTGGTGTGTTATCAATACCTTTTTAGTTACAAATAGAAAGCACAGCACTGTGAGGGTACTATGGGAAAATGCGCTCCATCTCAGCCAGACCCAATATACCTAATCCAACTGTGCCTTGTTAATAAATGTAACTGATCCTTTCCTAAATGTGTCGTCTTCAAGCAAGTGCAGTAGGAGCCAGTTGTCACCTTCATTTACTCTGTTAATTAGTGATCAGTGTCTGAGAAGGCAGTAACCAAACTTTCTGAAGAGCGAGTAAATGCACTTGGATTCCAGAGCCAAGACACATTTCATAGATTTTGCTGAGATTATGTGCAATCTTCTGTTCATCACAGTCACATTTTAATCACTTTCCAGGATGGGAAAGAATATTCTTCTTGCCAAAACTCAGTGCTGTCGGCAGAGAATGGGAAGCTTCTTGTCTGCTGTGACTGTACAGTTAAAGGTTGATAAGTGTTGGTGCACTGCACCATGGGAAGCAAGGACAGTAAACTTCCCCTAGCATGGCCAGAAGAAATCCTGTCCAGTCCTCAAAGCTGTTGAGTCAAAGTTTATGAAGGCACTTGATAAATACAACTGAAGCTTGAAGCATGAGTCTTAGCTGTGGTTGTTATCCTAATGTGGAGCTAATGGTTGCTATCCTTATGTGCAACATCAGCATCCTCAGGCTCCAGAAGGGATGGGTGAGAGAGAAAGGTTTACATCCATGGGTCCAGAATAGGTTGTCACAGCCATCACTGCTTGGAGAAGTTTTCCATAAAAACCATAAACATATCTGCATGAAATAAAGCATATCTATATGTTTCCTAAAACTGGTATCTTGTCTAACTTAAAGGCTCTAAATCACAGTGAGACATGACCTTTGAGGATTATATGACAGCCTGTTACATCACATCACTTAATGCTGAATTGTTAACCCAGGAACATGATTATGAGATGTCTGTCAAAAAATATTTCTTCACTTTAACATAGGTATATCTGGAATAACAAGAGTGATTCTGGAGCAAAGGTTTAATGATAACTTTTGAGAGGGAGGTCCGCGGTTCTTTGTGAAGTTAAGTGCATTAATTCTTTAGAACACAAATTTATTATTTTGTACACTTGTGAAGTGGATGAGATGTTGGAGTTGCAAGTCTCCTTGTTAGTCCATTAGTTACGAGATCCTTACAAAGGGAAGACTTGGCAGGTCTCTGGCTAAGATGACACTGTGATGTAGAGACTAAGCAAATCTGGGATCACTCATTAGAAAAAGGAATTTCAAGGCTGTGGCATACACTACATATATGAGAAGGTTTTTAAAACTAAAAAGAACACAAATAGTTAAACAAGGAGCTGTTTCTGCAAGAGTTGAATTTTTGATAAGTCATTTGATTCTTGCAAAGTCACTGAGTTTGTGAGTATAACATGCTGGAGTTTCAATGCCTTTTTGATTTTACTAATAAAGTGTGTTAAATGTATTTCCTGTTGTTCCTCCTGTGTAAGCATATGCCACTTTCTATGGTGACTGTTAACTTTCATATGACTGTTTTGAAGTATTCATTACACTGAAGACCAAAATATTTAATGGATCACTTGTTATCTAACACTCATCACCTTCTCTAATAAACTGCTGTGATATTCTGTCTTGATTTTTGCAAGCTGTTTGGGTGTATTTGAGCACATTTAATATTTGAAAACTCTCTAAAAATAAAGCACTGTTTTCAAGGAATGCAGTTCAGAAAGCAGTATTTTCTGATGGCTCCTAAAAACATATCAGGGATGCTGATTTCAGAAAGAAATAAACACATTTTGGACTCAGTTTCATGGGCTGTTTGGGCTGTGCCCAGCAGTTCTTCAAGAAGAATATCTTTGCATTCTGAGTCTGTTAAGGGAGTTTTCAAGTGTGGCTGGTGGATACTATGGTTTTACCCAAAGTAATGTGTTGAGCTAGGTGAGGAAATGAGGTATGTAAGGCTTCATGCCACTCAATGCTTTTCCTGCACTCTGTAATTTCCTAAAGCTTGTTGGAAGTTGAACTTAGCTTTTGTGACAAATCCCACTTACCTCCTGTGTCCTACAGATATTTCTAATGTGGCATGGAAGATGGATGGCTTGTAGTATCTCTTGCAATATATTTTAAAATATTTTTTTATGCCACCATTGGCATAAAGGCCAGGGAAAGGCCAAGGAAAGGCCAAGGAAAGGCTGAGATTCTGGAAAACAAGGGAATATTTTTTTAAACTATTATCAGTGTGAGTGCTGAGCAACACTGCTACTGCAATAATTACAAAAAATTAATTAAAAGAGACAAACCCAAAGTTAACAGGAAATTGAATTGTACTCACTTCTCATATTGTAATGACTAAATTGCCCATTAGTATAATAACTAATACGGAATATTTTTGTGGACATCTCAGGTTGTTTGTTAGAGGTGGTGGGCTGGATTCCTCTCACATATCTTCATCTGATAGTAATGAAAAAGCAAAATACTTACCAGTGCTTGTTGGCACTTCACAATGACCATTTTCAGAATGTTGGTGTTTCAGTGAAACCACTCCTTTGAAAACACCAGTTTTCTATGTGAGCTTCTTATTCATTATTTCATTAGAAGACCAAAGTGCATTGACCAGGACTGAAATAATTTCAGGTAAGAAATAGTACTGCTGTAATTCAGGTTAGCTAAACTAAAGCTTTTAAAAATATTTTTTCATTGCATTCTGAATTATTAAAGAGGAAAATAGTAGGAAGAACTTCCTATTATATCAGGGACCATAGGGGATTTTCCTTTTCCTTATCTGCAAAGCAAAGTCTGCGATCTATGTGAAATGCAGAATAATAAGGGAATTCAGAGTACAGAAGAGGAAAGAGTCACAGGAGACATGCATTATGGCTCCCACAAAATACTACCACAGTGTATTTTTCCCACAATTTTGTTAACCATTTCCCCCCTCCCCCACATTTGCTTTTTTGCAAGGGGAAAATGAATTTGACTTGTACTCTTATTGCTATAAATATTGACTTCTAGGTTTGATCAGGAGGATGGATCCCTATTGGTTTCAAAAACAACAAATACGAAATCTGCATTAATTTTACTGCAGATTATTTTAAAATTCATCTATGTTGTTGTACATTTTAGAAGAGGTGTTTCACAATGATGTGATGAAAGCACAGCTCTATGTTTCTCAATAAAGTTTGAATATCACAGAGGAATTTTCCCCCATAATCTTAGGAAGTTGAGGCAGCGACGCTGGAGAGACATGACTTCACAATTTGTCTCGCCTCGCTAAGGTGACACTCTCCTTCCTTTATAGCCAAGTTTTCCCACTTAGAAAGCGACTAAGGATTGTGATGCCCCTCTACTTCTGTTTTCTTTATCCCCAAGTCCCCTTGTGTGATGCTCCCACATGATTGCTCAGTATATATTCCCTGCCTATGGCTCTGACTGTTAAATTGTCATTTTTATTCCAAGAGTGTGCTTTCTTTAAATACTAGGAGAAAAGCTTTTCTCCTTGTACCCTCTAGAACTCTTCAGCTCTGCTGCTGGCACCAGTCTCGACGGTCTCTTCAGTACCAGCTTTGTGCTCTGTCTCTGCCTCTTTCTTGTTTGTCCCTTAAGAATGGAATGATTTTTTTACCTGAGAAGACTCCGTCGTATTTAACAGCAGACTGAAATCCCAGTGCTGGCAGACTTGTGAAGCACTCAAAAGCACAGGTGGTGGGTTTCATATTTTTGTGCCTGTTCTGCAGGGAAGGAAGGTGGAAAGAGGTTTTGCTTTAGTCCTGGCTTTGGCACAGCAGCAGGTATGCTGTCAAAGATGACAAACAGCAGAAAGGGCAGAGTATTAAGATGGTATCCAGCAAACCTGGTTTTAATCCTTGGCTCAGTTTCCAGTACAACAGGTATGAAATTTTCCTTCCTCTCTAATGTGTTGTGAGAGTAAAACCAAGTTAATAATTGTGAATTTCTGGCATCTGTGGGGTGACGGGCAAACTGCAGTTTTCCAGCTCTGTGCTTAAAACTGCCACAGAACAGATCTGTGTGTTGAGTTTGGGTGCTGTCCTGTGAGCAGCAGATGTGGGAAGCAGCTCACTGCCTCCATGGGTGCTCCTGGGAAGACATTTGGGCGCCTACATGGTGTCAGAACATGCAAAGGACAGAAATGCAGTCTCTGAGCTTAGCTCTCCTGCTGTTAGTCCACTTCTGAACTTGAACATCTGCAAGAATTTTCAACCACAAGCAAAACACAAAACTGAAGAACATTTTGGGTTTCTGGGTTACAAGATACATATTCTTTTTGGAAGTTCAAAGAAAGGCTTAAATAATTTTTGTTAGGAGGAAAAATCCCCCTAATTAAAATCTAATTGCAGAGTTTAAAATTTTTCTTCCTTTTATAAACTGTGTTAGAAAGAGGGTAACTCCTACACCCCTGATAAATAGCAGCAGATGTAGCTCAATGGACTTCAAACCATTCCAAAGCCTTTGACAGGACAAACAACACTAACACACTTTCCAGCCTCAACCATCAATAAGTGTTTACAAATTAGGATATAATGGCAATTGCTTTTCTTCTTTAAAATACAACAGGAAAAAAAAAAAACAACCAAACTTGAAATTATCAAATCTGTCATTGAACCTTAATTAGCTCTGGCTCTCTGACATTCTGAAACCTACATGAAGAAAAATAATATTTACATTTCTTTTGTATGCAATAAATTAATGCTTACAAAATGCAAGGCAGTATGAAATTCTCTATTCTCTCAGGATGCAGACCGCATAGCAACCAGGGTTTCAGTCTCAGTTGGTGATTCCAGTGGAATAACTGGAACAGAGCATTATGTGAGCACAACCAGCCACAAATGGTAAAATGTTTAACAATGTCTCAGTTCCAGGGCACTGTCCCCAGGGCTTTTTGTTCAGTCCTATGGCTCTTAGTGCCCCTGTGCAAGTGTTTGCATAGCAATGCTGCTGGGCTAAATACAGAGATGGACTTGCCAATTAGAAATGGGAGAAATTAACTCAATTTTATGCTTTGCAAAGCACTGGGGAACTTGATAGTTATCTTTACGTTAAAAAAAAAAAATCTGAAGTGAATTACCCTTCAATTTGTCAAATTAGTCCAATACCAAATAAAATTAATTCATGATCAGAACAAATGGAATCTAGAGTTTTATCAGTGAATCAAATTCTGCAACTGACATATTATGTTTCATCTTCTTCCAAATGAAATGCAAATAGAGAGGAACTGGCTTGAGATTTATTTAAATATTACTGATTTCCTTAGAAAAATGCTTGCATGTAAACTTGATTACTCCTGATTGCGCCAGGATTTAGTTAGCAAATGAAATAAATCTCAAGTACGTGACTTCATTGGTTCAATGAATCTTAATTGATTTGATTAATATCATATACTAGTATCGACCCTTTCTTGGCTTTCTGGATTTTCCTCTTTGTTTTATTGATCAATATCACACTATTTCCTATTTGTTTTTGCTATACAGTGCATGTGTCTTTTACCCAAGGAAATTAAACAAAATTCCTTGCTATAGAAAGAAGGCTCTGTCAGTCCTTCCCATTGGAGGGTGCCATATGCCAAATTAAACCTTTCTTTTCACCTTGATGATTATTCTTTTGTTAAAGATACAGACATCCAGAATGTGCAGACTGAGCTATAACATTGAGGCTGGACCTGCACCAGCAGAAGACTCATTGCTCAAATCATGTTGGTACAGCTTGAGCAAACACTCAAAGCATCTGGTCAGCTCCAGATGGATTTCATCTCCAGTCAACCATTGAGTGCAACCTTGATTCCAATGCCTTACCTGTCTCTGCCCATGCCCTATGCCTATTCTTTTCCAGAAATTCTCATTCTCATTTTCCATCTTCTTTTGAGCAGCTAGATTTTGTGGCTGTTTCTTCTTTGGCAGGAGAAAGGTTTTATTCCTCCCTACCATCTCCTGGAGAAAAAAAAAATGATGTGAGAGTCCCAGAGATCTCCCCTTCCCTTCAGTCCAGTTGCCTGATTTTTTTTTTTTATTTCAGTGGAGAAAGGCAGAGCAGAGAGAAATGGAGAATATGAAAGCAAAACCACGCTTGCCTCTGAAAACAAAAACCAACAAATCAACCAACCATCAAAAAAAAAATCTTTCTGAAATCAAGATATAAATTACTTTTACATATTTGTGTGTAAAAGTCATTTAGTAGCCTTTCAATGAAGAGAATTTTCTATCCTCAGTGAAGTCCACTCTTTAGTTTTGGAAAATGTTTTATTTTTTTTTTTAAATCATCAAGTATTAAGCATATCTGCTCTTTTTTCATATCTTCTGACAACTTTAAGCCAGCTTTTTCTTCTGGGAGTTGAAGCTGTGTCTGTGTTAGTCCACGAAATGTGCTTGGGTCTGACCCCCATGAGGCCAAGCACAGAGTGCCTGGGCAGGCAGAGGAACTCAGCAGTTGGAGCAGGGTGGCTGCCTTTGGACTACCCACTCCTGGACACCCTCTGCTCCCAAACTGTGCCTGGGAACTGCAGGGGGACACTCCAACTGGCACTGGTCCAAACTGTGCTGTAATCAGGTCATTCCAACAGCTTAACAGTAGGGATGATCCCTCTTTCCAGGACACAGGACTTCTTCTAGGCACTGGCCATCTTAGCAAGATAGACACAAACAGAGAGTATTCATGATTTTTTGTAGGTCCACTAACTCTCTGGGTCTTAGAAATGGACTTTAAGTGTTGAAATTATGAGGAGTAACTTTTTGGCTAGTTTTAAGAAGCAAGGCATCCCCTTTTATGTCAGAGGTTGTGCAAACATCAGCTGAGACTTGAAATAGTGAGACATGCAGGTCACAAAACCCCTGGGATGAACATATGAGTGCGTCAACTCACCCAGGAAGAACTCTGTGCCCCAGTCTTTGCACTTCAGGGCAGTTGCAGCATCACTGAGAAGCCTAGGCACAGTGGGCTTAGGCTGAGGGTGTATCTTTCCAAATCATACAGCTCTGAGGTACCATACCAGTAATTAGAAAAGCACCAACTGTGAAAACACAGTTCACATTTTACCTGATCATCCTCTCCTGCAGAGCTGCAGACTGGTTTGCTGTTCCTTTGAGTCAATCCTGTGTATACGTTTCTGATGTTTACATCTCAACTAGGAGAATTCCATGCTGGATGTACACCATGTGGCTGCGCTGCCGGAGTCAGCAGCCACTAAAATCCCCAGTCTCCAACATGGGCCAGAGCCAGATATGAGCAAATTCTTCTCAAGTTACAAGCTGGTTACAGCCAGAGGTTTAATAATGTGGTTTCACTAGGTAATTGTGCTATCCAAGTTAACTATTAATTAACCTCCCATTAGATGATGTCAGACCTTGCTGCACAAGAAACAACTGCCATAATTGTAACAGTTTTTATTTCTGTGTTGACTGTATTGATTATGCACTAAAAAGATAAGCAGGGAAGGATTAGATTGCATTTACTGACCATTGAGCAAATATTTCTTCTATCTTCACTCAGATCTTTAAAAAATCTTATATCTCTGTGAAGGGATTTTATTTTGATTTTTAGCAGAAATGATGATATCCCATACTGCTGTGGCAAGGCCCACATACTACTTCTTCAAGTAAACTCTGTACTTTTTTCCCCTCTATATATTCAGTTGATAACATTTTCTTTAACAATCTTGAAATGAAATTTTACCTCTTTCTGGCAAGGGCAACACATGCTTGATCTGTGAAGTGGCAGGTAGACTTTTTCAGAGATACAAAAACCCAATTCAAAACACTCCCTTTTCTGATATAATGGGAATATCAAACTTTGCAAGGTAAGGTTTCTGCTTCTACAACCAAGCTCTTAAAAAATACTAGATCAACAGTTATCTGTTGTTTCCTTCCACTGCTGGGACTTTCTGTAACACAGCTGTATAAAATAAGAACATTGTTTCTTCCTGTGTCTGCACCAGTGGCCTTTGTGATGACCTTTTAGAAATTACAAGGCAGGGTGGTCTGAATGTCACCATTAATTCAGGTTAGCCAAGAAGCTTCAATGTATGTTACTTCATATGCCCGGCACGACCACAAAAACTCACACTGCCTAAGTCCTGGAATCCCAGGGCTTGTGTGGACAAGTAGGAACCAATTTTAGCGGTGCTCCCACTATCCATGTTAGCAGGTTGTTTACCAAGTTATTTTGAGAAACTCATGGGAAGTCAAAGAGCTGAGACAGATATTCAAAATAGATGTCTGTCACATAGCATGTGTAGAATTCATTGTCTGCCAGTTACCAGGGAAGTTCCGTAAGCCATGCTGGCAGCATCAGACTTACTGACAGAGAGATTAAATACTCATTTTGTAATTAGTGGGAGTATTGCTTTGTTTTTATTGCAGTTATACATAGATGTTCCAACAGAGATTGAGGGCCTCTCTATGATAAGCATTAGATTTATGTACCATAATAATTAAAGTTCTTGCCTCACGGTCCTATGGAGGTCATCTGAAGGATGCTGAGAGATTTCAAAACAAATAAAGTGATTATGAAATGGATCCACCTTGAGCTGTTCAGCTCCCAAAGTTGCAAGATCAAGTCAAGACCACACACAGAGCTCCCTCTCTCCATGTTGTTTATGAATGGTTTACAAGGGGCTCTTCCCAGGGGGCCACTACCACAGGCACTCCAATATTATACCCACTTCTAAAACGGCCTCCACAGAATCGTTATTATGAACATTTTTTCAGATGTTATAAAATAACGGCTTCACAGTGAGTTAACTACACTCTAGCTTAGTCAGATGGGGAACAATATAGTTTATGTGCTCTGAGCTTTCTCATGGATTAAATTTACCACTTGGTCAGTGGTAGTGCCCCTGTTTGACAGATGTAGGCCATTATTGAACAATTTGGCC